ATCAATTGATATTGCTAACAATGGCAATTAACCGGGCTAGAATTGGATTTCATGATTAGTCGGATTATTAGTTCGGGCTAATTGTAAGTGAACGAAGATAAAGACCATTTAAACTGAGGTACCTTAAATACGACAAGTTGTCCGGCTAAGCAAAATATCTTGCTTTTTGATATGGGTCCATGGTATTGCACTTCTGTGGCAGATGGAATGCATCCGACTCCTGTTCAAGATGTTCAATAAATATGTTAAGTGCATATATATTACCTGTTTTTCTTGAGTCTGTTTGCTCATGCAAAATGAATTGTGATTAATATAGATTAAAAATTAATGGTATTTAATCGTGATTAATCTAAATTAATCCACAACAACCCTGTGATTAATCTGATAAAAAATTTTATCGTTTGACAGCCCTAATATATATATATATACATATATACACATATATACATACATACATACACAGTATATACATACATACACAGTATATACACACACACACACACACACACACACACACACACACACACACACATATATAAACAGCATAAGAAAGAGATGACAGAATCCCTACCACATATCTTAAGAGGAGCCTCCAGCTCCAGCAGGATAGGTTGACTGAGGAAGATCTCTCGGGATTTCAGGCACAGGCCTCGCACCTCACTCTCCTGGAGCTGCACACTCTTGCCAGGCTTTGAACCTTTCACTTAGAAAGTCAATAAAAGATTGGTCACCCACAATCTTTGCAATGACATATCATTCATATGGCCAAAATTCCTGAGGCAGCTTCCGCCGCTAGCCACATCAGCAGCCCATCCACTATAGACAGGTTTTCAACCTTCCAATGTCCACGGTTGGTTTGATATTCTACTACATTTGCATGGACTGGTAAAATAATCCCATGATAAACTTTGGGTGGGGCGAGGCAAAATTAGTACAAATAATAATTTTTTTAATTATTCCGTAAATGATGTACAAACGTATTGCACCCCTCTGTTGTGAAATCAAGCTGAACTGAATGTTTTCATGGATCACAATATTTAATTCTTCAATATGGGACGATCTGCCGGCTGAAGATGGGCCATGGACCGGGGGTTTGGGAAACCCTGCCTTAGAAACCCAAATTTAAGTTTATTTGTGAATAAACTTGAGAGACATGCATGAAATCATTGTGATTACAAATACACTTCCTGAACATCCACTCCATTACTGTCCGCATTAACGTTCCGTCTGGTGGCTTTTGTGCTCCTATCATACTGAAAAAGGAGGCTGATGATGAAGACAAGTTAAAGTTTTGTATTCTCTATTTATAAGCCACGCTGGCCTAATTCTAAGCATAAAAAGCTGACCTCCGATGTGCAGCTGATGAAAGCTTTGGCGCCGTCCCTTGACGAATGAGGCAGGAAGCAGTGACACAGCCAGCATCCACTCGCTCATTCATTTACTAACCAAATATTTTGCAAAACTGCCAAAGACTCCAGGATATTTTAGTCAGTCTGCATTACAGAATTAAATGACAAGCGGTAGTTTTGAATACACTTAAAATATACTTGTTAGCTGCCTTTGCATTTAAGTCTTCTCTACATCAGCATCATATTCCTTCAGTCACAGACTATGAAACCGTCATTCTTCCCTCCATGACATATAAAAAAAACCTCACCTGAAAAGTGTCATTTCCCTTTGACATTGAGTGATGTATCACTCTCTGCTCATTGTGTCACCTACCACATTCTGGGTAGCATAGTAGAAAACACAGCTCATTTGTAGTTCTTGGTTATATTAAACTTTAACGTCTATAACTCTATAATTACCGAGACCATCATAGTTATGGTATGCCAAACAAAGGAATAGCAAAAACATATAAAAATATAAATACAACATGGTTGAATATCATCATATTAGTTTAGCATAAATAAAATTCCAAACTGAAAAAAAATAAATAGAATAAAAATTAAGTGATTATTCTACCAAGATCCATTTTCACTAGAGACTTCTTACTGAAGTGTCACTGTGTGTGATGATACATTACTCCTTTCACCATCAATAGAGATTTCTGTAGTCTTAATCACAGTAGCCTGTTTGTGCCAGACAGGCCAGCCTTCATTAACACCTTGCATCATCTTAGCTGCCCAGCACGCTGTCGGTGTATCTTGGTTTTTCCCTCCTCAGACCCCTCTCAGCAGGTACTCCCCATGCCTGACCGTGAGCTCCCCATGAGGCTTGCAGTTTTGGAGATATTCTCACACAGTCATCTGGCCTTAACCACTTGGCCCTTATTAAAGTCACTTGAGTCTTCACTCCTGCCCACTCCTTCTGCATTCAACATGTCAATTATGAGCAGCAAATGCTGGCTTACTGTCTAACACAGTGTTTCCCAAATTAGTCCTCAGGGAACTCCGGACAGTCCACATTTTTGCTCCCTCCCTGCTACCAGCCAATCAGGAACACCAAATACCTGGTACAGGTGGGCTGGGAGCTAACAGGAAGCTGAGTTGGGAAACATTTGTCTAACATATCCCAGACCTTGACAGACGCTGTTTGTACAATAAATTCAACGTTATTCTAATTACATGGGGGGAGGTCACAATGTTTTGGCACTTTGGTGTATATAACTTTCATTTAAAGCAAGGAACTTTAAGACCAGAAGGTGTGTTGAGTTTTCAAAATGCTGAGCTCTTTAATAACTTGCCTAAGATGCTGGCATACATCTGGGCTCCATTCAATATAAAATTAAAATAAGGTCAATCTGAAGGCATTAAAGGTGCATTTTAAATTTAGATTTAGTTGTATCGTTGAAGAATACATGCAATAGCATAAAGATAAAGACCATTCTAAAACTGTACACATATACATTCATTACCCTCCTTTACAATAAGGCACTCAGCTTAAATTAATAGTTTTTCATTCTTATCTTTCAAAACAAACTTGTTAAAATTAATTCCAGAAGATAATGTTGAAACTTTAATAGGAATCTAAAAGTATTTTATTAGGACAAATACAACCGGCAGCACTTCAGCCCATTTTTACACTAACTGGCATTCCTCAATTCACACAAATTTGACAATTCATCAAAAAGTCTGAAGTGTGATACCAAATCCTCAAGTAGAATTTGATGTTTAACACTGACTGTAAAAGTACCTTCAAATTAATTAAAAACCAACAGTAAGAAAAGGGTTCTGTATCCTTGGACCTTGGATTAGGAGCTCCGACTTGCCCACATCCAGCTTACCTAAAATAATATAATTGTGAAACACAGCAAGTTTAATGACTGTGACACACCTGGCTGACAGTGCACGTACAGCTGTGAACATCTTGCCATTCACAACTGGACAGAACAGCATGTTACAAATGTATGTCGTGCATTTTAGTGTAACACTTAATAACCAGATAATTTATTAAGCCCTGAGTTCCAGCAGCTTTCAAGAAATGCCCCAAGATCCATCTTATCCAGAAAAACCACAGCTAACACATCTGACCACAGATCTGCTTCATCAACTTTCCCTGTTCCAGGGTTATGGTCATGGCTATAGTAGGAACCTAGTTTTCATGGTGTTTTGCCATGAATACCTCCGGTTCTTAAAATGTTTTGTATAGTATTGTACAGGCCTAGCTTCTGCTCCAGTACTATCCTGCATTTGCTTCTGGTCACACTGGAACCTCAGCATTCCACTACTTGCCCTTAAGCTGCACCTTAGCATAACACGTTAACAATACTGTATATTACAGATTTCACGCAACACATAAATCGATTTAAGTGGCATCTAGTTACTTAATGTGGTGAATATTTTTACTGAAGTAAGTTGGCAACACGGCCAAGCTTTACTTAGTATTATATATTACGTATTTCTTAAATGTTACACACCGCTTGAAAATCCAAATATCTCGCTGGACATTGTTAACTGCAATGGATGTATTACGTTCATGTGCAGGATAAATCCACACAGCCTAAAATATTTAAGTCGCCCCGTAAAGGCAAACGCTCTGCCTTCATTAATTACTAGTTACTGTTGGTCACTGGCATTACAAATTACACGTGGGCTTTGAGGAAAATAATGGTACATAATTGTGCGTGTAGTCACATAAATTGCACTGATAAAATAGGGACAGAATCTGGGACATTCAAAATAAAAACTGGGTCGCTGCCCAGTTTTTTTTTTTAAGAAGTATGTACTTTTAAAACTCTACTTTTACGTTTGAATGATGACGTGAAGCTCCGGGCGTCAAGAAGAGATGTGAACACAGCTAAAAATGCGAACGGGCGTAAGGAGCAGAACAAACGCCGGGTTACTTTGTCTTTGCAATAAAATATTCCACTTAGGCAGCAATAAAGGATGACAAACACCCTCAAAGGAACCATTAGTGAAAAAACTTTACTTATGCCTAATCGATCATAAATAACTCTGACATACCACATGCAGATCGATTATACATTATCACCACAGGCAAAACACTTATATCACAAACATTATAACAAATACTGCCAGTCTGTTACAATCAGCCCGGTGTATTGACGGTTAGTCATGTTAAATTAAAACATCAATGCCGAAATTGGCAGGTTCTCTCAACTGCATGATGACATTCCATTAATCCGAATCGATCAGCAGTATGAAGCGAAAGGCTAAATTTACGTTGGAAATATGTCAGGTAGAAACTTCCTATAAAATTAACAGATACTCAAAGGTCCCATACGTGTGTGTGTGTGTGCGTGTGTGTGTGTGTGTGTGTGTGTGTGTGTGCGCGCGTATACACACAAGTGGTGACCGGTAAGACAATCAACCTAATTAGTGGGTAGGTGACATTTGACAACTCTTCCTTACCTTCCAAAAGACGCTGAATTATACTGTCTACGTTAAGCTTGTCAATATCTGCCATAGCTTTGTAAAAAATAAAAAGGAATAAATTTGCCAATTTAAAAAGGACTCCGGAGCTTCTCCTTAAATCCCTTCCGTAAGGAAACGAGGCGGGCGTCCCAGCTTATTTGAAGCGATGTACATGCTGAAACGCTGCGCCGCTCCCGGCCATCGGAGTTAATTCGTCCCGTATGTGTGTCATTACTGTTGGGGCCGGCGGAGCGCTACTCTCCCCGCAATGCTGCACTGTTTCACTGGCTGAATGAGATGCAGACCCACAACGGTGTTCTGATTCGTTTCGCCGTCTTCACACTGGAGGTGAAAATTATGGTTTTCAGCGAATCAATTCGAGTTCCTTCGACTAAAAATGACGTGGATAATCGTGAAATGAATTGTTTTAAAACTGTTTATTTGTTACATTGTGTTACTAAATAATATATATATATATATATATATATATATATATATATATATATATATATATATAACTAATGATACTATGTAATTCTTATACATACGTCACAATTTATTGTACATAACATTAAATTTAACTTGCCCTTCTGATTTTTACTGTCATACATTTTACACTCGTGCAATAATCGGCCTTAAATTTAAACCTATCTTTCCCCTTTCATTTTAAATTTGTTTTTCTTTTTAATAAAAAGGCAGCTTTTCACACACAGTTTTCGCTCTAAGTACTGACGTCATTCCTGTTCAACTCACCGCTTTCTTTTCCCTATATAAACCACTTCTTCACAGACGGCTCGATATTATTGGCATGACATGGGCTGCTCTTCTCTCTCTACAAAACTGGCTAAAGGCTATATTTAAAACACCAGGTTGTCTGTGATAATTCATACCTTTCCATGCCAGCTTAATGTTTAGGTTA